TGAACCTAGAAACTTATGGAGTATGTTACTGAATATGTTAAAGCTGTAATAAAATGCTTCTTCTAATCATGTAGTTATTAAAAATTTAAATAAAAAAATAGACACAAACACAGGAGACAGAGATCAGAGCTCCTTCAGGAAGAGCTGCAGGGCTCAGCTGCACACACACACACCCCCGTCCCCACAGATGCTAAATACCAATAGACACTGCAGACTCTAACCTGTCAGAACCAGGGAAACTGCCCACCCTTCCCGCATCCCAACTATAACTGCCAAAGGCAACCAAATCACACCAGAATCAAAGCACCAGAACACATGGCACTTCTAAAGTTATTCCTAAAAACTGGCCATGGTGGTGCACCCCTTTAATCCCAGCACTCAGGATGCAGAGGCAGGTGGATCTCTGTGAGCTTAAGGCCAGCCTGGTCTACATAGTGAGTTTCAGGTCAGCTGTGGCTACAGGGAGACCGTCTCAAAAAAAAAAGAAATAAAATAAAATTATAATAAGAATAAAGTTATCACTAAAGTCCCACAAAAACAACAAATAAATCTATTACTAAAGCGTCACGACATACTCCAGTACTTTTTTTTTCAGAGCCCAGAGCCTAGGGTTCTAACTCTGCTTATTCTCAGTAACTAGAAGCCACACCAAAACAAGCAGTGTATTTAATATGGGTGTCTCAGAGCTAATAGGCGAGCACAGAAGAAAGCTTAGTTGTATTATTTGGAAAATTATTTTATATAATAATGTATATAATGCTATTGTATATAGTACTACCTTTGAAGAATGGAGGACCCGTGATCCTCTGTTATCTTAACTTAGAGCTCTTTCCTTTTTAATATTCTAGTGTTCCCATAGCACTCTGTAGTCCTTAGAAATGGTTTCAAGCCTTTTCACAAAAAAACGCATGTGTGTGCACACACAGATACACACAACTTACACCACACACACACAGACACACACACACACACACACACACACACACACACACACACACCATTGATTCAGGCCCCATGAACTCAGTAATAATACAAAGCATTCTTCAAATTTCTATCTGAATTTTCTAACTGTGGCTTATTAAACAACAGGAAAGATGAGAGATGAATGATCTGTCTTCCTGCTCTTCAACAGCACTGCCTTACAAGTAATTTGTACAGTTAAGATAATAATTAGAAATGAGTCTTATCTGTGGTATCAAGCAGGTATATCAAGACTAACTATAATGAGGCACCAGTGATAATGTATACTGCTAAAATACTTTTCTTTCATTTCAAATAACTCATCCATAGACTGAGTCCCCATTACCCAGGAGGATGAGCCAGAAGCATCACTTGAGTTCAGGAGCTTAAGATTAGTCTGGACAACACAGCAAAACCTTCCATCTCAAACACAAAATAAACTTTAAAAAACAACAACAAATAGCTCATACTTTAATCCATTCTTTATTCCTAGCAGGTACTGTTGTCCTTGTAACTTCCTTTTACTTTATTTATTAATCTATCTATCTATTTAGTGTGTGTGTGTCTGTTCATCAATCTCTACAGATAAGAACACGTGTATATATGTACATGTGGATGCCAGAGATTAACATTAGATGGCTTCCTTGGTTGCTTGTCACCTTTTCTTTATGCTTGGAGAGGAGGGCACATACATTCCACAGGCACACACATGCCACAGGCACATGCACACCACAGGCACATGCATGCCACAGGCACATGCACACCACAGGCATACAACCTCCACTGTCATCCTTGGCTTCTTCCTTATTTGAAACAAGGTCTCTCTTCTTCACTGCTATATATGCCCAGCTAGCTAGCCCATGAGCCTCTGGTGATTCTTTTGTCTCTGCCTCCCATCTCATAGTAGAGGCATGATCGGATTACAGAGTTATATACTACTGGGTCTGGCTTTTATATGGGTTTTGTGGATCTGAACTCAAGTCATCAGGCTTGCATGGCAAGCACTTTCTCCTCTGAGCCATCTCCCTAACTCTCGACCTTACCTTTTGATTCAGATAGACTGGCTGGACAGCAAGCCCCAGGGATCCTCCTGTATCTCGGTCTCTCCAGCACTGGAATTACAGATGCGATGTCACACCCAGCTTTTTTCCATGAGTTCTGGGGTTTCAAACTCAGGTCCTCATGCACTGTACTGACAGAGCCATCTCCCCAGCCCTGTAATTGCAATTTCTCACTGCCTACTATCATCTGCACACAGTAAGATGTCAAAAGGTGCTTACCTCGGAGTCTTTGGTCTGCTGATTACGAATGACTATCAAATTGTACAGGATTCTGTCATCATCTGCCTCTGTGTGGGACACATCATGAGGCATACTCCATAAATTCTTTTCATCATCCCTCACCAGAGTTGCTCCAAATGAGGAGTATGGATTGTTACCACTGTGATATATAAAAAAAGGCAGCATAAGGATTTTGTTTTATATATATATATATAAAATA